GAAATAAAAGAAAAATTGCTTGCAAAGAACCTGCAATCAAATTAAGAGCTGACTTTTCAATAGCATCAGTAGAAGATAACTTACATTGAAATCATATCTGTAACGTTCTGAGAAGATATTTTCAATCTATTATTATATATCAAGAAAAATTATATTTCACAATGGAGGGTGAAATCAAGACATTTTTTAGGAAAACAAAATTTGAAAGCATTTGCCTCCAATAGAACCTCAGTTAAGGAACTTAAAAGGCTACTTTGGGAAGAGAAAAATGAGCCAAGAGGGAGAATCTGAGATCCAAGAAAGAAACTGGGTAAATGTAAACAGACATTGACTAAATAAGACAAAACCAAAGAATTAATCCCAGACAATAAAATCATATAAAATTAGAGTTAAAATATTCTAAGTTTCTAATATTTTTTATGAGGAGGAAAAAGATATTGATTAACTTTTGACTTTAAGTTTAATATGGATGCTTTGATGTATGTGTACTCTTTAAAAATATAAATAAACTGCTTGATTTCTAAACTAGTAGGGGCGAATGAAACAAAAGGTATAAATGGTTTAATCAAAAAGAAGGCTTTAAAAAAATTTTTTTTAAAGAAGCAAATGTTGAAAAACATGGGCAAACAGAAAGCAAAAAATATACCTTAAAGTAAAAAGTAGGTCTACATGTAAAGAGGTTCACAATATATTGTTAAAAAGTGCAAATATCAGGAAACTAGTAACATAGCTTCAGTAGAAAGCAAAAATTGTCAAAACTGAAAGAAGAAATTGACAAATTTCCCATCATCAGGAGAGATACTTCTCTTAGTAACTGAAGAAACAGACCAAAAAAAAAAATTAGAATTTAGTTTATAAGGGCTATACACGTAATGAAGTTTTTTAAAAAATAAGTTCATGTAAAATATAAATACAATATCTAGAAAATTCCATTCAGACACACATGTAACATTAGCACTGATTATATATGAGGCCATTCAACTAATCTTAAAGCTTCATAGAGATCACATTCTCTCATTCAACACAAATGAGTTAGAATTTGTCTAAAAAATATAAACAGCATGTAGTTGAATATTATTTTTGACCCAATATGACAATCTCTGTCCTAAATTAAGCAAATTTAAACTGCTAATGGTTATTATTACAACTGATGTGACCATGGATCTGAGACAGCTAGAGTGTTTATTTCAAAACAAATTTGTTTCTGTTTGGAGAATAGGTGACTTCCATAGCTGTTGATTGTGTTTGATGCTTGAGTCTTCTCTATCTTAGTGGTCTGCTAATAGTAGGTGTTGATGCTGCTGCTACTGCCAGGACTGTTGCTGTTTTTAATCGACTTTCATTGTCCTGACTCCCACTCAGGACATTTTTCTTTGTTACCCAGGACACAATTTTTCGTAGGCTAAAAATTGCTGTGTCTACTTCATACTTATTAGGATGACTATTATTAAAAACAAAAACAAAACAGAAGTGTTGGCGAGGATATGGAAAAACCGGAACCCTTGTGCTTTGCTAGTGGGAATGTAAAATGGTGTAGCCACTGTAGAAAATGATGTGGTGAGTCCTCAGGAAAATTAAAGATAGAAAAACTATATGATCCAACAATTCCACTTCTGGTTATCTATTCAAAAGAATTGAAATCAGAGACTTGAACTGACATTTGTACACCAGTGTTCTTAGTAGCAGCATTCTCAATAGCTAAAAGGTAGAAGTAACCCAAGTGTCCATTGAAGGGTGAATGGATGAGCAATTCTGCTAGATATATTCCACTACATACACGTAGTGGAACGTCGTTCAGTCTTGAAAAGAAGGAAATCCTGACACATGCCACCGCATGGATGAGCCTTGAAGTGAAATAAGCCATTTGCGAAAGGACAAATACTGTGTGATTCCAGTTATATGAAGTACCTAGAGGAGTCAAATTCATGGAGACAGAAAGTGGTTGCCAGTGATTGCAGGGAGGGGAGAATTGGGAGTTATTCTTTAATGGGTATGAAGTTTCAGTTTGGTAAGATGAAAAACGTCTAGAGCTGGAGGGTGGTGATTGTTACAGAACAAGGTGAATATACTTGATGCCACTGAACGTAAAATAGGTTAAAGTGGTTAGTTTTATGTTATGCATATTTTATGGCAATTGAAAAAAAAATTGTGGTGCCTCTGCCCAGGTAGAGCCTGCCATTGTCCCTGGGTGTTAATGTAACAATCAGTCTTAATGCTTTGAGAGATATCACCTCTGATACCCTCTCTAAAACTGCTCTTTCCATAGTTTAGGGGTCAAAACAAAAATATTACTAAAAAATGCCCTATGTTTGTGTAGCACTTTATATTTAAAGGAAGGCTTTTGTATAACTTAATTTATTTAATCCTCACGACAACTTGCAAAGTAAGTAGTAGTATTGTTCCCTTTTAATTGATAGAAGAAATGAAGTCTGAGAGATTGTCATTCAAGATCACAGGGCTATTAAGAATGCAGGGGTTCAAATACTTATCTCCTGACTCTACAGCCATTCATTTCTCAAAGTATAGAAATAATTGTCAACTTACTATGAACTTGACATTTAAAATGCCAAAAGCAAAGTGCTATTCTTGTTAAACTGAATAAAGAAAAAAAAGAAAGAAAGATCTCATTAGCTTCTCAGTGACCAAGGAATAATGATTACACTAAATTTATGCTCTGAATCCTATTAATGTATTGGTGGCTTTTTATAATGTTCTATTTCCAAACCTTGGTCATGTTTAAACTCTCCTGACTCTTTGTAATTTTGGACTTTGGCTTCTAAAAACACCCCTTAATTTGGAGTTGGGGGAGCGTTTCCCTAAAGCTCATTGTTTTAGATTGTAGCTATTCATTTTTAATCTAAATTTTACTCCAAAAAAAAAAAAGGTCCAATTTCAATAAAAACAAGTAGCCAGGTTGCCATCTTATTGTTATGCAAGAACTGTTTCACTTCAGGTCTTAAATTTCATTTTTTATTGCTCTCCTTGGAGTGGGTGGCTAATGTAAATGGGAGAAACCTGGCATTGCACCATCACTAGTCTTAGTAACTTTACACGTCCCTCTAGAACAAATAGCTGGGTCAGTGCAACCTCCCAGCACGCAGCTAGCATTCAGTTTCTTTGAAGCCTGCCATAGATAAGGCAACTCGGAGTCCCAACTTTACTGTTTCAGAATGCTGAACCTGTAGCTTTCTCTGTTTCTGAGAGGACATGATACTGAAAAGAAGAGGCATGGCATTGACACCCCCCTCACTCTGAACAAGCCTCCCTAAACTTATTAACTGGTAACATAAATAACACCCTGTGAGGCAATACATAATAGTGGTATTCAATGAAAGAACTTGAGATTTTGCATTTCTGGGTCCTTCCCTTTGTAGGATACCTGTAAAGTCTTCACCAACAGGTTAAACATTGAACATTCAAAGAGATGTCCCCCTGCCCTATTTCTTCTTTCTAACTCTTCCAGTGACTGTGAGGTGAAAATACCGGAGAGTCTGGTTTACCATTGCATTGACTTTTCAGATTCAAATTCAGATCCCTCACCTCATACATGTGAAATTGTTGGGAAGCATTCGCTGCACTTTAAAAAGCTTGCAGCATGTTGAGACACTCTTCACTTGTGTTTTGCCTTAAAATTCGTAATCCAGGGTTCCCTGTGCCAAGTGCAATGGAGAAATGAAGTGCTTTTATGAAAAATAGCTCACATCTATAATTTGGGCATCACCTGGGGAACTTCACCCTTGTATCTAGCTTCTTGATTGCTTCCATTCTCATAGCTTACATTTAGTAAGCACCTACTCTGTGCCAGAAACTGTACCAAGCATTTCATGAGCATTATGTTATTTAATCCACGCCATGCACCTATGCAGTTAGGTACTAACTTATTCTCATTCTGCAAGCAAACAAAAAAACTCACTCTGAAATGTCAAGAGGTTAAGTGGGCACATAGCAAGTAGGTGACTATTTCAACCCTCTTTTTTGGGGGGGGGCCCTGGATAAAATTGTACTGGCCTAGTTCAAATAAATTATTTTATTACCTTTTAAAATCTCAAAAGAATTTTCAGAATGAGGTTTGCCAACAGGATTCTGTCAGTGCCTTACACACTTTAATAGTCTTTTATTTCAGCAGGCAAGAGTACTGACTTTTTATTATATCTCATGCATTTCAGATGTATCGTTGTTTTCCCTTCAACTTTCTCTTCTGCATAATTCAGACAACAAACATTCCTTCCAAGACTGTGTTTTCTAATGCCTCGGTTGTCTTAAGTTGCTTTCAACTCAAATTTTATTTGCTTACCCTATATGCTACCGAAGAGTGAAAGATATAAAGCAATCAGTTATTATTTGTAATTATGAAAATATAGCAAAAAAGCCAATGGCAAGCAAAAATGAAAAGTAGCTTCATGTTATGAAAAAGGCAGACTTTTGTTTTTGATGCTGAGTAAAAGATAAAGAATATTATGGGGACAAGACTGCTTTTAGAGAGGAGCTTGATTTCTTTTAGAAAGGGCTGAGATACTTTGTTCTGACATTTGTATGATTTCAGCAAAATATTTTACAATTCACTAAGCATAAAATGAATAAGTATTTATGAACATCTAATTTGCTCTCGGAATTTCAGAAGCATATAGACTACATATGTATTTAAAAAATAAACCCTGCACTGAGAAGATTGCAATTTAGTGAATGAGAGAAGACAAACATACCAATAAATTTACGTATATCCAAAGCAGTACATAAGTGTTCTTCTAACCTTTCCTTCCGGTTCTTTAGCAAGTCTTGACAACTTGTTCTCTAAGACACATCTTGAATCTGTCTTCTTGAAAGAGGCTTGATTTTGAATTTCAGAAATAGCCTACTTTATGCTTTAGAGGTTAGAATCTGTCTTTCCTCTACATATTGCCTGATTATTGTGACCAGTTCTTAAATCTGGATTGAAGTTCTGGAGATGCTTTCTTGTGACTCACTTTAAAATGTATCTTTACGTCCCTCTTATGCCACAGAGTCATCAACAGTCGGGCCTTCACTTGTGATTCACACCACTGTCCCTTTTGGAGTTAAATACTTGGAACACAGCATTGAGGATGTCCAGGAGTTAATCTTCCAGCAGCTGGAAAACATTCTGCCAGGCTTGCCTCAGCCAATCGCTACCAAATGCCAGAAATGGAGATATTCACAGGTAATCAAAGAAGCCAGAGGTGTGAGCTCAGCACTTCTCTCAGTAGAACAACAGAATTGACCTTATGTTTTCATCCTTTACCATTCTCTATGTGATCTTTGAAACAAATATGTTTGCCCTATACATAAGTGTAACTTCTGCAGATTTTATTGTCCTGCTGTTACTCAACAAGTACATGCAGTGTTCACCAATGTTATATTCAGATCCTAGCATCTCAAGACTTATAAACGCTAATATTCTAGAGTTTTCTATTCAACTATGGCAAGTTATGTACCTACAAGTGCAGCTGTTTCTTGGGGTTTTTCTAAATTGGTACTGTGGATATATAGAAACCTCTACAACCTCCCAAATTTTGCAATATGTCAAATTAACCTTGTAAGTATATTTTACTACCACAATTTTCATTTTTATTAAGTTCTGTCTTTGGTTTTAACTACTACAGCCAAGCTTTCTGGGGGAGAAGGATTAGAACCTTCATAGAATAGTAGTTGAGCTGTTTTTCAGGGTTAGGCAAACTCTCTGATAGCTCTACTAGTTCAGACTTAAAGTCCTTTATACTAAATAAATGTTGACTTTTAGGAAAAAATCTTTGCATATTCCAATTGAAGTTTGTGAGTATTCATCAAAAAAGTTTTTGATCTGTTAACTCAGTAGTGAAGTTGTTTAGAGGACAATGAAGTTAAGGGCAGACAGAAGAAGCAGAGAATTGTCCATTTTTTTCCTGAGGTTTCCAAGCTCATTAATTAACTGATTTATCAGCACTATTGCTTATCCAAGCTGTGAAGCCTTTAGAAAAAGTAGTGTTGTGGGAAACTGCAGCCGATTTTGTATATTTTAAAGGGCTTTCTAAAATCAGAGGAAATGTTAAATTACTTCCTAAAATATTGCAGCAGGTCTATGTGTTTACCCATATCTTCTCAAGTTAAATTATACAGTGAGTCTTTAGAGAAAATATTTATTTAAACACATCATGGTCACTTTAGAAGACTTTACTTTTTCTTTTTAAAAGGATTGAAAAATCTTCATAGCTAATGTCTTTAAATTATATATATATATATATATATATATATTTATATATTCCTCCCCCCCCCCAGGTCCCAAGGTGGAGCTAGGCGCTTAAATGATATTTAACTCAATTTTAGGTTGGCTTGAAAAAGAAAACAGGGAAATAACCTTGTTGAAATACTTTGAAGCTAGATACATTATATACCAGTCACTTTACAATGTATACTGTTCCTGTAAAAGAAACCATAGTTTGTTGGTGAGATTTCCTCTTGTGCCTTCCTCTTAAATAATTGATTAATAAACTGAAAAATAGGTTTAAAATCTACTTATTTCTTAAAATTTATGTGTTAATAAAAACAGATTTGTCCTAACCACAAAATGACCTATTCAAAGTTGTGCAATATCACAAAATTCAATAAAAAAACTTTGAGCACAGTGTACCTCCAAACCCTAGAAAAAATTTTATTACAATTTGGATGTTGAAATTATCCCACTACATTTACAACTGTGCAGTCATAAAGTCTACATTGGCTGCAAGGGCCAAAAGAAAGTCAGTTATCTACCTAGAAGACTGAAGCAGAAGGATCACCTGAGCCCAGCAGGTTGAGGCTGTGGTGGCCGTGAGTGTGCCATTGCACTCTAGCCTGGGTGACAGAGTGAGACTCCAACTAAAAAAAAAAAAAAAAAAAGAGTCAATTATCACCCAGACTTAGATATTTGCATTCTCCCCTATCCAGCTACTTCTCATATATTTTGAGATCTTGAGGATTATTCTATAGAACGTGACATTTGACATTTATGGTAGATATATTACCTACATTGTGTCTCATATGTTTATATGAATGTCACCTTTTGAAAAGGAATAATTAAAAAAAGTCCACAGTCAATGTCACCCAACTAGTTAGTTTTCAGCTTTTCTTTCCAAGAGAGTATTTTGCCAATACTTTTAAAAGATCCATCTTAATTTTGGGAATATGACATAGATATATGCACGCCTCTTCCCTTGCTATCCCAATGTTCATGATCTACCTTCAATGAATTCATTTATGTTTGTGTATGTATATGATCTAGTATAGCACTAAAGTGAAGGGAAGGATAATAAAAGACCAGGGACAAAAAAGAAAGAGGAACAACCAACCGATTTTAAGATGACCTTATTTTTGAGCAGAGGTGCAGTACCCTTGCAAGAGAAATTCCACCATGTTTTCTTCCAGCTTGGGTCCCTCTCTGTGTTCCTTTTCTTTTCCTCCTCTCTCTGTCCTGCTCTACCCAAACCTTTTCTTTTCTCTGCATTCCATCCCCTTTCTTTTCTTTTCTTTATCTGAAGAACAATAGAGCCCTACACATCCTCATTTTATAAAAGCCTGGATTGAAGCTTTCACAGAGCTGGTGTCTCTGAGCTCCCTGCAATGGTGGCTGGTGAGATTTCTCCATTTCAGACACCTCAAGCTTGACTTTTTCTATTTATTTTATTGTTTCCTTCTTTTTTTTGTGATTCTTACACTACATTTTGGCCCTAGGTGACTGTGGAGGGTAGGGAAAAAGAATAAGAAAGAAGGAGAGCAATACAAAGCACCTATGGTGTGCCAGGACTAGAGCTGGGTGATTCAAAGATGTGATTTCATTTAATATCAAAAGTGGTCTTATAAATGACAGAGAGATATCACTACATGCCCAGAATGGCCAAACATTGACAACATCCAGAACATTGACAACAGCAAATGTGAATAACAGGAGCTCTTATTTATTGTTGGTGGAAATATAAAATGACATAGCCACTTTGGAAGAAAATTTGGCAGTTTTTTCGACATTATTTTACTATATAATTCAACAATCATGCCTCTTAATATTTATCCAAAAAAGCTAAAAACTTACATCCACAAAAAACCTACATATGGATATTTTGTAGCAGATTTATTCCTAATTAATAAATTCAGATGCAACCAAAATGTTCTTCTGTAGGTAAATTGATAAATAAACTGTGGTACATTTAGACAATGGGATATTATTCAACACTAGAAAGAAATGAGCTATCGAGTCATTAAAAGACATGAAGGAAATTTAAATTCATATTACTAAGTGAAAGAAGACAATCTGAAAACAGTACAACAAATAGTGTATGATTCCAACTATTTATGACATTCAGAAAAGGGCAAAACCATGGGGACAGTAAAAAGATCACTGGGTGAGGAAGGAATGACTAGGGAAAGCAAAGAGGATTTTTTGAGTGGTGAACATGCCAATCTGGTATGTATAATGTATAGTGACAGATACATGTCATTATACATTTATCCAAATTCATAGAATGTACAACACCAAGAGTGAACCCTAATGTGGACCATGGACTTGGATTGATAAAGATGTGTCAATATAGATTCATCAGTTGTAACAAATACATCACTCTGATGGGGGATGCTGACCATGTGGGAGGCTATGCATGTGTGGGAGAGGAGTATAGAGAAATCTCTGTACCTTCCTCTCAGTTTTGCTATGAACCTAAAACTGCTCTGAAAATAGTTATCATAAAAATTAAAAGTAGAAAAAAATCAAATGAATCAATATATTTAGTATAACATAACCCCTAATAGATTATTTTAAGCATACATTTTCAAAAGTTTATCTCATGAGTTTGCTAGTTTTAACCCCCTAGAGTGATGAGAACACAGAGTCTCAAAGAGATCAAATAAATTCCTTAAAGCCCCATGGCTAGTAATGGCAAAACCAGGCTACCTGCCTCTCAAGTCATTCCCTCCTCTTTACTCACCCCCTGTTTTTTACTGTTGTACCAAATTACCAAACCCTTGGCAGCTTAAAACAACACAAATGTATTCTCTTACAGTTTTGGAGGTGGGCTCCAAGAGGGGCTCCCTGGGATGAAATCAATGTTGTCCAGGCTGCATTACTTTCTGGAGGCTCTAGGAGAGATTTTCTTGCTTTCCCCATCTTCTGGAAGCTGCCTACATTTGTTGACTTGAGACCTCGTCCTCCATCTTCAAAGCCAGAGACAGCAGGTCAAATCCTTCTCACATCGCACCACTCACTCTTCCATTTCACTCTTCCTTCAAGGACCCTTGTGATTATATTGAACCCACCTGAATGACTCAGGATAATCTCCCTGTCTCAGATTCGGTAATTTTAATTGCATCTTTAACCTTAAATCTTCCTTTCCGTGTAACATAACATATTCACAGGCTCCAAGGATTAAGATGCGGACATCTTTTAGGGGTATTACCTCTGCTTTCCATGCCATCCTGTCCCCTGAATTTCTTGGTGGTTCCCTTTGAGGCAACTTCTCCTCTTTCTTTATTAAACCTCCGGAGAGAGCATCAGCCCTCTAAGACTTAATAAACCCTATAAGGGAGTGACTGCCATCTGAAAGAGATGAGGAGTATTCTGTGTGGCGGCAGTTTCTTATTTTCCTGGTGTCGCTCACCCATGCCCAGTGTTTTCTCTAATGTCACATATCTACAATGGCAGCAGTGGGGTGAAAAATATCTGTTCATTTCTTCATTTGCTTACTCAGTGATTCAATAAGCATTTAATGAAGGCCTACAATATGCCTACTACTCTACTCACGAAACCCCTGAGACTAATATTTGCTACAGGCTCTCTTCTAAGACTCAAACTTGAGTTTTGTCTTGAGTAAGATAGTGGTGAATTCTTGTGGTGCTACTCTAGATAAAGAAAGATGAAGATGAAGAGGGCATGTTTGTGTGCTGCTTCTGTGACTCCCATTGGATTTGCATAAAGCACTTGAGTAGGTGTTTCAAGCACACTTATCAAAGCAATGGCAGATTTGTTGTGGATCTCAGTACCTTCCTTTTGCAACTATTTGCCCTCCATAAGTCACCTGTTTATCCAGGTCATACAACTTGATGCTTAATCTGTGATGCACTGAATTAAGGTTTCAGTAACAAGTATGCTATATGAACCCTTTCGGTAGAAGAAGAATAACTGAAAATGTCTTTCCATGTGTCTTAACAGGAGAAATGTAA